TTCTTATCCAATCCTCGGTGGATGGACATTTGGGTTGCTTCCACATTTTAGCAATTACAAATTGTGCTGCTATGAACATAGGTGCACATATATGCGAGGCCTTTTATTTGTCTGTTTATTTATTATTTGTTTATACCTTCATTAGCTTACCTTATTCAAGTTCAAAACAACCATGTACACTGTGGTTTTTTCCACTACTGGGGATTGAACCCAAGTTCTCTTGCTTGTTAGGTAAATACTCTACTATTAAGCTATAGCACCAGTCTTCAGTTTTTTAAAATTTTGAGACAAGTTGCTCAGGCTAGCCTCAAACTTGAGATCTTCCTGCCTCATCCTCCCGTGCAGGTGTGTGCCACTGTCTCTGGCTCAAGTTCTTACTCACATTTGACAGGTTGCGAGGAGACATGGTTGGCGGTCAAGGGGTCCAGTGGCTGCAGGTCAAAAGCCAAGGTCTTAGCTGCCCTCCAGCCTCACCTCAGCGTGCAGCCCTGCCTCACGCGAGCATGCGGGCACGGGCAGACCCTCCAGCCCGGACGCCCGCTTCTCTCTCCTCTGCTGCAACGGCGCCAGATGGTTCAGTCTGGAGCCCAAAGATGGGGCTGCCATGGAAACAGATTTTGGTGTTTAGACAGGGAGATCATTTATTTTAAATATCTTTACATTTGTAAAATATTTTCTTAACCAGTAGCTAATTAGCCCTAAGCTAATGAAGCCATTTAGTTTATTTGGACCAAGGAAAAATAGATGGTTTTATTAGAAATAGAATGTTCTAAATACTTTTTTTTGTGGGCATTAAACCCAAGGCTTTCACAGCCCTGAGCCGCAGCCTCAGTCGAGGGTGCCCTGGAGGTACTCGGGGAGGGCGCACACCTCAACGTGCTTCTGCCTGCCTAGCAACTGGAGACTGTTGCTATGGAGAAAGAGCTTTTTCCTCTTTGAATAAGAGTCTGGTCATTCTCTTCTCTGGAGAAATGAGAAATGTGGTTGGTGGTTCAGGGGTGGTCAAGGGGAAGAGCCCCACACTGAGAAGAAAGACAACTGCCTTTTCAGCTGCTCAAGCAAACAAAATAATGGTTCGTTACTTTCTGGGTCAAACAGGAGTGTGAAAGGCTTTTTAGGGTCATTGTGCATTATGGTGTATCAAGTTTTGCACCTGTAAGAGGTGAGTTTAAATCATCCTTGCATTTGTTAGCACAAAAACATTCAATGATCAGCTTCGTCTAGGGTGGGGTGAGAAGTATGAGTCCAGAGATCAATACCTGCCCCCGAGCTCACACCGTCATTTGCAGATTGTTCAGCCTTGGCCAAGCCATTCAAAATCACCGGCATCAGGCTCTTCACCTAAAAACAGCTTACAGTAAAATACTGTGTAATACATATTCAAATGTTTTACAGGGGCTTTGGTGAGGATGACTTGACATAATGCCAGTAAAGTCCGCAGCACAGAGCTGGACTGTGTAGGTGCTCAATAAACTGAAGCTCTTGAGATCCCGTCATTTACTGTCAAGTGTAGAATGCAACTTAGATTTCTGTCAGTTAACTTAGGTGATATGGGCATGTGTATGGATATACGCATACACGTGTGTACATATGTGCGTATGGACGTGGACATGTATGCTCACACACACGCATGGTGTGCATTAGTGAAAACATTTTTCAACAGTATATTTTGTTGATCGCAGCAGTCCACCTTTACCCAGAACTGGGGCCTGGCAGGGGCACCAGACAGTGACAACACCCTCTTATTGTCCAGCCCACGACTGCTCCTGGGACAGTGACGGGGCTCTGATTATCAGCCTTTGTCAGGGAGCCGGACTGCACAGCAGCCCCGCGGGCTGAGACATAAGAACTTTCTGCTGATTTCTGGCCCCGCCCGCAGCTGTAAAAGACGAAGAAGTGCAGCTCGCCAGGACTGCTCTGGGCGTGGTGCGTGAGTCGCCAGAGGCCTGGCTCTTGGTCTGCACCGCTCTGCTCGCTGTCATATGTTTTAGGGTGTCCACAGCTTGGAGACCCCATAAACCAGGGGCCGGGAGGGGGCCGTCCCCGGGCGCACCTCTTCCGAGAGTCACAGCGTGTCTTCTCTTCTGTTGTCGCACTGGGCTCTGTAGGCATGTGCTGTCGTTCTGACACTGACAGTAACATTAGCTCCCAGGTATCGAGAGCTTACGTTATAAGCACTTTACACATATTTGCTCATAGAATCCTCACTATATTATTATTATTATCCCCATTTTCTAGCAGAGAAAGCAGCCCCGGATGATCAAACACTCGGGAAACGTCACACAGCTTCAGAACTTTCACCAGTCTCTATCTTCTTACTTCTTTATTGATCATTTCAATATTAAATTTTAGAGAACTGTAAGTGATCGATTCCTTAAATTCTCAGCATAAGGACATTTTCCTTGGGGTGCAGGGGGTGTTTAAGGAGCTCCCCAAATCTGGAGCTGGTCTAGTGGAAAGTGGGACCCTCGTGAGGATGGTCTGGCACAGTTGTTAGGGACCCGCAGATCATTTAGGGACAAGCTTACGTTCACAGAGGAAGACAGTGACTAGCGGGAGAGGTAGGAATGTCCTGCTCATGGACTCCGACACGTTTTTGAGTCGGGTCTCCCATGTTCCCCAGCTGGCCTTGAACTCCTGGGCTCATGCAATCCTCTGCCTCGGCCTCCAGAGTATCTGGGACTACAGGTGCAGGCCGTCAGGCAGGCTTGTGGATTTTCTGGGTGAGACATTTCCAAGCCCAAAATGCATGCTTTTTTTTTCCCCCATAATGCCTGAAGTTCAAGGCTTGGGGGTGGGGGCGGGAGGATGGAGATGACCAGACTTCACCTTAGATCCTTTGTGCAATGAGACAGGGGCATAAAACAAGCAAACAGAATGAAACCCGGCGGGCCCCCACCCCCAAGCTGACCGGAGACGAACACCTTTCCTTCTGGCTGTCTCCACTTGGGGCGTGCTGGACACTGCTGAGGGGCTTGGACACGGGGAGGGGGCTCGGACTGGGCTCCCCGGAGACCACTTCTGCTGCCTGCTAGGCCAGGAGACTGTTGGGAAGAAACCACTTGGGTCAGCAGATGGAAGCCCAGCGCCCCCGGCCTGGGCGGGGACCCTTCGGGAGGGGAGGGAGTGAGGACACAGGAGCGGCCAGCCTTGCGTCCACTGTGGAGGGACCGGCCTCAGAGCGCAGCTTCCCTGGGGCTGTGCAGGGGGCTGCCCTGGCGCCCTTGCCGGGAGCAGGTTTCCCCGAGAACCAGGAGGACCTGGGCCAGCAAGGGTGCCCACGGGATCCAGAGGCCTCTCTGAGGCTCCCCCCGGGGGCCAGCGGGTCGGGTCGGGTCGGGCACTGGGTGAATGAGTGTGAGCTCACTGTGACCGCGCCAACAGCGGGAGGCACCTCGGGGCGGGGCTGGCCGGGCGGGCCGGGCCCCAGGTCGGTCCAAGCGGAATCTGCCCTGCAGCTGCGCCCGGGCACGTCCGCAGAGAGCCCGTCCCAGGTCTCCGGGGCGCACACGCCCGAGCGGCCGGGCCTTATCAGGGCGGGCGACAGATCAGATCGGCTCGCAGGGAAGACTGAGCCGCAGCACCGGGCGCGGGAGCGGCCCGGCCGAGGCAGGGGCAGGC